TTTTGCTAACACTACGGCGCAGTTCTTTGAGCTCAGACGTGAGCGAAGCAAGTGAACCAGCAAAACCTTCATCGAAGAGCTTATGGAAATTAGCGAGTTCAGAGCGCACTATTTCTAACTCGCCAAGTAATTTGTTTTTGTCAGCTTGCAGGGAGTGAATACCAGCAACTGCACTTTCTTGCTCTGCTCGCAGACTTTTGAGTTCAGCAAGAATAAATTAATAGCTACATTGATTACTGATTTATCGAAGCTTTCGTATTTCTCTAAATTACCGTTATGTGGGATGTGGGCGTGGTTATTATCCGATTTTTTAAATTTTCAGCCGTTTGGTATGTTTTGTGAAGGCCAACAACTGTGCCAAGTTTGGGAGAAATTGGTGGAGCGGTTCCCAAGATATACATATGTATGTAATCATAAGTGGGCGTGCCTACGCCCATTTCCAAACATTTTTAATATTCTCATTTTTAATTTCATTTCAAAATAAGTACACATACCAAGTTTCTTTAAGATATCTCAATTTGTACTCGAGTTATCGTGTGCACATACGGTTACTCTTTTCATTCTGATCATTTATGTATACATTTGTCTATATCTATCTCGATTCGTTTTGCCTGTTACAAACAGCCGTTATGTGAAAAAAGTTATAATACCCTTGCGTACAAGTGCGCTCGGGTATAAAAATACTTGACATCCGCATTCGCATTCGCATCCGCGGATGTTAGCGTTTGAACATCCGCATCCGCATTCGCATCCGCGGATGTCTAAAATTCCACATTCGCAACATCACTGGTCTGGACATACAACATTGCAAGTTGATAAAAGCGTTGTAATAATAATAATAAAATAAAATAGCCAAGTGAGAAAAGGTGCCGTGAAGGTCAGATTAAATCGACCTGTTGCACCATTGAGTATATCGAACTCTCCTGTGTTGCGATTGGCCCAATGGATGTGATTTCCCAATATTATTATGCGTTCAAGCTTTTAAGGTATTTCGTCTGAAATAAGTCTACGTATATTGCATTTCTGTAGAACAATGATTCGCACCCATTTTGAAATTGCCACCAACTATACTGTAAAGCTTCTAGGACATTCACTATAGAACCGGGTTATTGTTGCCTCCAGGGAGTGAAGGGGAAAAAATTCTTAAATTTTATTTCGCTTTGTGAATAACCGTGCTATAAAATGCTGCAAAGTCGGAGAATTTCAAGAACTTCTTCGCGGATATAACACTTTCCTTAGGTTATTTAAAGTGGCAAATGACCACCAAACCATAATCTTAGCAGAATGTGCCAATGAAAATCGTAAACGTGAATTGTTGGTGAAAATGTTGGACCAAAAAGTCTTGGTAAAATAAATAAAAATTTTGGGCGTTTATTTGTAAGCGCTCCACATTCAAAATTTTTGGCTAATACAAAACCTTATCATTATTTTCTTTCTGATATCTAAAAAAACGTTAATATTTTTTAAAACCTCCTCAGAATTTTTTTTGACAAATATAAAAAAATACTCACTTCGCTCCACTGTCGCGAAAAAGAAGAGCCCATTTTGTAGCGTTGAATAATTCAGCTGTGAATTCGTGAGCAAATTCTTGATAAGAGAAGTTTGGCTTGTAATTGTTTTTCATAAAGCTTAAATAATTGGGATATCGTAAATCTGAAAATAAAAGTACACAATTGTATGTAGAGCATACTAGTAAAAATGTATGCAACTTCCTAAGCACTCACTTATCCAGTCGGTCCAAAACCATTCGGAACCAAAGCTGGGCACTGAATATACACCCCAATGTATGAAAATGCCAATTTTTGCCTCATCATACCAGCTGGGCAATGGACGCTTATCGAGACTATCCCAATTCGGTTCATAACGTTCTAATGCTGATGTGTTAATAATCATTAAATAAATGAAAAATACACAATGATGCCGGCGGAGCATTGCTTCCGAATTTATAATAAAACTAAGATCTTCGAATTAATGTGATGATATATGTATGTATTTATGACATATATATGTATGTATATACACACAGCTGCGCGCGAACGAGCAGATAAACAATAAGCGGGTATACAGAAACACAGCGAAGCGAAAACAAAATCTACACTTGTTTGCTGGAAGATCAGTTTGCCACTGAGGGTACTTTAAAGCTGATTAAATAATAGTGTGACTGATGAAACGTCGCACAGTGGTCTGAGGGTGGCAGAAAGTCTTAATTTCGAAATGTGTGGAAATATTCAGCTAAGTGGTTGACTCGATTCTAAACATGTCTACTAACAGGTTTTGAAAGACTGAAAGACTAATAAACGGAAACACGGAACTTAAGAATAATAAGTTTTATGAGAAAAAAATAATTACACTTTTTTCAACAGACAAATAATATTCGATAGTTACATAATTCTTACCTAATTAAAGGTAATCTACTAACGCGCAAGTAGTCGACTCTCTTTATAGCCTGCCGTTGAACATTTCTGCTGGAAATACCTACTATTATCTTACTCTTTGACTTTAAATTACGAAAGAAGGTCGACGTAGGGGACAGTCTTAACGTAGCATCTCCACACGCAAAAAAATGTTTGCTAAAAATTTTTGTTTGCCAGATATACGTTTTATCAGTGCACTTGCACAATATTCGCATTCGCAAAAGCTCGGCATTGATTATTGCGAATGCGAATGTTAAAATTTATGCGGAAGTTCCGCGAATATTCGCAACAACCCTGATATGTACATACATACATACGTATGGATGTATGTATGTACATATGTACGTAGCAAACTGCAATATTTTAGTAACTACTGAAGATAATTCACTCAAAATTGATATTTACAATAATTTTTGGAAAATAAGAATATTATAAATTTTTGCAACTTGGCACAACATACCAAATGGCCGAATCGAAATTGATGCTTGCAACAATTCTTTACCAGTAAATGCATTTATGGTAAAATTTTGGAAAATGGGCGTGGCACCGCCCACTTATGATCAGATATATGTATCTCGGTAACCGTCGTTCCAATTTGTACCAAACTCGGTATGGTTATAGTGCTATCCACACAATAGCATAAGGTTGAAAATTATTGAAATCGGACTAAAATTACGGCCGCTTTTCATATAACAGTAAATTTTAGAAATGCTTGAAACTTCAATATTTCGAAATTTTAGGAAGCTAATTTACTCAAAATTTATACTAACAACAATCCCTTGAAAAGTAACATTAAGGGTATTCATCAAACCTTATAAATGCATTGTAAACCGTATAAACTTATAATTGTGTAAACCTTATAAATGAACTGTCAAAATTTGTATGGAAACTCGTTTACACATTTCTGGTAAATTTATCCAGCGATTTCACTGAATAAACTTGATAAACTGAAGACAATGCAACTCTGTCGCAACTCTAGCTATGTTTTCTTAGGCAATAATCGGGATCCGCATACAAATTTTGCACGCAAATTCAACAACGATATGATCCTGATAGAGATCTGGTTCAATTATTATCTCGTCTGTTTGTTTTGTTTCACTGATAATTCGCAAAGTTTGGTAGCCGTGTTAAATGAATTCATACACAACCAGACATTCGGCCATTGTTTCTTATAACTTGCTTCAAATAAATAGTCTTTATGTTATATGTACATTTATTTAAATAGATATCTCGTAAATATAATTTTTTCCAATTTAGTGAGGTAGTTTCTATAATTTCTTTATCCCCGTGCTAGTAGTATAAAGTTAGTGACACTTCGCTTTATAACCAAAGAAAACACGACTATTGTCGCATGTGTAAACGAAAAGAGAGTGTGGGTCGTTCATGTAACAGAGTGCATAAACTTATAAGATTATCTGCTTGATAAAGTTATCGGTTTAGATGAATACCACTATTATTTGGAATTTTGGAAAATGGCCTAGATACCGCCCACATATGACTATATAAGTTTATCTCATTACGTCTAACTGAACGTTCTATCGAAGATGTTTAAAATACCACCAAGTAGCGGTAGTTTTCGGAAAGGTGAGAAGCGTATAAATATTTAATACTTGCGCCGGGTATTTAATGTTCGACTCCGCCCGAACTTATGGGTCGATTATCGATAGCAATCGAACCTCAGTTGCGTTGCTAGTTGCTAAAACGATATTACAGATAGCAACTGGCAACTTTCAACTGACAACTGCAGTTGCTAAAAAATGTGTATAGAGGCGACTACATTTTTGTAGTTGCTGGGAATGTCTCTGGAGCGTATTTAGGAGCGAAAATTGAAAAGTGTGTCATATATTTTACTTTTTAATAATTTGAACGATATTAACATTTTGCAATGCAGTTTGCTTTTACAGAATATTATGAAAATAACAAAACAATAACTTGAAATTTTAGTTCCCATGGAGTACGCCCTCTTGGCGAAACAAAAGCGAACACTGATTGCAAATTTTTGCCTTCATCAACTGAAGCACCTCTTTTAAAACTACCGACACACTAAGTTTTCCAAATTGAAGCCATTGCTGTGGCATTCCCTTCTGCGAAAAATTTAAGAGGTTATCGATAACTCTACAGCAACTGACGATAGTTGCCATTCGTAATACAAATTTTCTTTCCAGTTGCGTTGCCAGCTGGCAACCGAACCGTGGTTGCGTTGCTATCCGTAATCGACCCATTAGACTTTCTTACTGGTTTATATTTGGACGAAGCCACTGTCTGCTTATTGGTTTAAATCGTTATGCTTCACACTCTTAATCCAATAATGCAACTATTAACACTACACTTTGCAATATTGTTATTTTGTTAAACACCATTAACAGAGCGATTATTTGCTTAAGGAAATTATTATTACTATAGTAATCGAAAAAATGATCAGTAAAACAGCCCTTTTCATATTCGAAAATGCATTTTTTCCCCACGGCGATGTCCTAGGAAAAGTGCGACATTCAATTTTGCATTACCTAGTATCGAGGAATGAATGTGATTTAATATGCATTTTTTGGGACTTTTTGGATACATTAGAATGCTGATTACATAGTAAACATAAATGGAATCTAGAACTCATAAGAAATACATAACATTAATTATCACGCATGTAATGCATTACTACTTTTCGCACTGGGTACCTATGTACATAACAGGGTTGTTGCGAATATTCGCATTCGCAATCACAACCGCGGAGCTTCCGAATTAATTTTAACATTCGCATTCGCTTTCGCATTCGCAATAATCAATGCGGAGCGAATGTTGTGCAAGTGCACCGATAAAACGTATATCTGTCAAACAAAATGACAAATTGCAGCCAATATTTGTTTCCTGTGGTCGTTGGAGTATTTGTGTAACAAAACTGGTCAAATATCATATTTATCAACTTTGATAAAAATGTCTTTAAACTTATTATTTCTTAAGCTATATAATCGAGCAGTTATACAAGTTCCCACTTCTACTTGGCCTTTGACGTACGTCAAAGAGAACATAGCCCTTTTAATAATATATTTTTTTGTTTTCTCTCCTTTAAATACCTGCATTTCTTTCTTTATTGTGATTTTTTTTGGATCAATCTTAAAAAAACTACTAGACATAAAAGAAGAAAGTGTGCACTGTAATTTTAAACCAAATTGTCGTGATTTGCTCTTGATGTTACATATCGTCACCTGAAATGCAAAAAGACGTAACAAACATCGTCGCTGAAATACAAAAAGTCGTAACTAATAAAAATCTCAAAATTCAGTTTTTGATTGATATGAAGGATTTCATCGAATTTCAACTCCCACATCAGTTATGGTGTTGTTACGTCTTTTTGCATTTCAGGTGACGATATATTCATTTCAATCATTTCAAATGTGGCTCTTTGGGGAATTTATTTTAAGGAAAAATTTAAAAAAACAGTAATTTTGTTTACTTGTCGGGCAATATTTTTTTCATAGAAAAATATGTTCATTGGCTAAAGGCCTCTGTGGTAAAACTCTCCCCCTACGTCCCCCTTCTTTGCAATTTAAAGTGAAAGATTAATCTCCTACAATAGGGCTTTCTAGCAAAAATCTTCAACATTTAACTATAAAGAGAATCGATGCTGAAATATTTAAAAAGCTATGTCCGACCTTTAATTAGGTAAGAATTAAGTAACTATCTGAAACCCTCATCATTCGTGATTCCAATAATTCAAATGATTATAAAAAAACGGGGTGCTTTTTTAAAAAAATAACAATATTCTGATCCGATTCGGCTGGCAGCCAGTAGTGCGATTCCCATTTTTCCTAACGACCGATATTCGTTATTGATAATGAACGACGTTTGTAGCTTGCAGTAGCGAATAGGCTATTCTCAAAAACACACTTAGGGCCGGTTGTTCAATGTCTGATTAGCACAAATCGGAGGCAGAACTTCCGGTTAAATGCAACGACTGCTTTATCGATCACATGTTATATGCATGATGTCGAAAACGTCGATAATGATGTTTAACCGGCAAGTACTGATAACCAGACATTGAACAACCGGCCCTTAGGGCCGTTTGCACCATGTCTAGTTAATACTAACTCCCAGTTAAACATCTTTATCGACGTTATCGACACCCATCATTTAACATGTGATCGATAAAGCAGTTAACGTGCGTAACTGAAGGATGTACCTCCAGTTAGCGTTAACTAGACATGGCGCAAACGGCCCTTAACGACAGAATTCGTTAGACATGTCGATAAAGAAGGTTACGAGGATTGTCGTTAATTACAAAGACAAATATGGCAATATTGACGTTTGACACTCAATATTTAAAATAAACATTTTCTTGTTGCGCGTATTATTGTTGTCGAGATTGTTGCTTGTAAATAATATATGAAAAAAAACAGAAGCGCAAAAGCTACTACGGAGCAGTACCATAGGATGCTGGACTTTTTATTTTGCAATAAGGGCCTCGTGCAAGGCGAATTTAATAAGGTGGTGTTAGCCATATAAAAGTAAAAAATTACACTAACAAATTATACGCACAATTACAGTATGAATTACAACACCACATCATTTTCATGTTATGCATTCCACGTCTAAAAATTCAGCTGTGGCTCTAGTTTTCGACGTAACAAGTTAAAATTGGAGCAAATGTTCAAGTGTCGTTATCTCGAACACTGGAGCCAATCTGACAAAACGGGGGAAGCCATTGAATTTAGAGTGCCCCAATT